AACATGTGTTACATATTTTGCGATAAATAAAATATTTGTAGGGTTAATTAGAAATGCTTCTTTTCATTTTATTATTGTTGTTATTGTTCCGAACAATGCCACACACAAAAAACCCCGGAAAATATTAGAATTGACGAAAATTCAATTTTTTGGTATTTTTTCCAAAAAATTCCCCAAACTATCGGAATGTTTAGATTTTCATAAAATCAACTCGACATAGTTGCATAACAATTATATGAAAGTTTCAACGAATTTTGCTGGTTAATTGCGAAAGTGTGGAGCCACCTTAAGCTCATCTCCCGGCCATCCGGATCAAGGTCAATCAAGGTAAATCAAGGTAAATAAAAAAAGGCCAAGAATGACTTCAATGAACACAGAATAACTGACTTGGCTATCATGGCATTGAGGCGTTTTGTTTTTGTTACAGGTTTGTACTATGACAACTGTAGCAAGTCATTTAGAAAATATGTTATTTCTGCCATTGAAATATTTTATGTTTTAGAAACATAACCCTTGTTCACTCATGAACAAGAGTGACCGTGACTTTCAGCTTCATCGACAGCTCTGATTCTGGGTTTTATATATCATAGTAACCTTATAGCATATCTAATGATTGATATATCCATTAATTATGGGGGAAATTGATGTTTAAAACTAGTTTAAGCAACTCAAGTAAGTAATCTTATGGCCATGATCTTAATTCGTTGTAGCCGTCAAACCGGCAAACACGAACTATTACAAGACACAATTGTAGCAACGCATAACACGACCTGTCAAACATAATACACATTATATGTTAAAATTACTTACATTCAAAAACGTCAAAGCAGAAGAACAAAATGGTGCAGCGTCGAGATATTCTGGGTAACTTAATCGTCTGTTCATCTTTTTAAGACTGCCATCAAAGTCCTAATCAGAATAAAACATTCATTTAGTTTATGATAATATACTCTATATAAACACTGGCCAAACCGTGCTAGGACGCTGTTTAGATCCTAGAGCTTCAATGATTTATGCACAAATATGTAAATTGTCTAAGGGTAAAACATATTCCGACCGTCATTCTTAAAATGAACTAAAACGTAAATACCAAAACAGGAAAATGGACAAATTTACTCAAACAAGTCAAATATTAATATGATATGAATGATGGACAATAAAAAGATACCCTCTGAAACCTGTTGAACTGCAACACCAACACAGGGGGAAGTGCTACTAACAGGATCCGACTCCAGGAATATGTGGCCGGATCTGTACGGAACAGAAAAAGAACATATTTGAGCCGTTGTACGTAACGGAGTTATTGCATACAAGTCGAACAGATTCAAACCTACATTTAGAGTTCAAATAATTTCAGCTAATGCTGAGAAAGATCATGACACTTTTTACACGCTTTCAAAAATGGTTTATTCATATATATCTATATCAAAGATACTCAGCTCACCTCTATTGCCACACGTTTTGCAAGAGAGTTCGTCAATCTTGTTCACGTCTGTCCACAGTGTCAGGCCCCCCTCTAAGTCTGTGGTACCCTGTGGTTGATGTTTTAAACTGCTGTGACTACAGTGAGGTCGACTATCTGTGTAACAAGTATATTCACTACAGGTATCGCCGGATCCCTGTTGTTGATCATTCCTGTCCTTTTGATTCGATGAGTCTTGAGTCGTGTCATCCTCCTGTTTCTGTGGTGACATACTTTTTGGGGACAAATTAGTTTGGATGTCAGCTTTCTGTTCTACTCGGGACATACTAGTTTGGATGTCAGCTTTCTGTTCTACTTGGGACACACTAGTTTGGATGTCAGCTTTGTGTTCTACATGGGACGTATGAGTTTGGATGTCAGCTTTCTGTTCTACTTGGGACGTATGAGTTTGGGTGTCAGCTTTCTGTCCTACTTTGGACGTATGAGTTTGGATGTCAGCTTTCTGTTCTACTTGGGACGTATGAGTTTGGATGTCAGCTTTCTGTTCTACTTGGGGGGTATGAGTTTGGATGTCAGCTTTCTGTTCTACTTGGGACATATTAGTTTGGGTGTCAGCTTTCTGTTCTATTTGGGACGTATGAGTTTGGATGTCAGCTTTCTGTTCTACTTGGGACGTATGAGTTTGGGTGTCAGCTTTCTGTTCTACTTGGGACGTATTAGTTTGGGTGTCAGCTTTCTGTTTTACTTGGGACGTATTAGTTTGGGTGTCAGCTTTCTGTTCTACTGGGGACGTATTAGTTTGGGTGTCAGCTTTCTGTTCTACTTGGGACGTATTAGTTTGGGTGTCAGCTTTCTGTTCTACTGGAGACAAATTAGTTTGGATGTCAACTTGCTGTTCTACTGAGGACATATTGGTTTGGATGTCAGCTTGCTGTTCTACTGGGGACCATTGAGTTTGCATGCCAGCTTCCTCTTTGTTTCGTTGCATATTTGAATGATCGTTGTCGGTGCCGTCCTCATGCCGCACCAACTAAAACAACAAATTCAACCGAATTCTTATTAATCTTAATGTATACATATTTCTCGTGAATATTTGGTCTGATACATATGAATAGGATATATTCATCAATCTGTTATACTCGATTATCCGACGATGAACAAATAACTACAAATAAGTTTATTTGTTTCAATTTGCAAAAATAAGTGTTAACGTAAATAGTTTTAAACCGACTCCTGTATGCAGTCAAATCTTCTAGCCTAAAATACACAGGCGTTACTGCCACCTTTTGCATTGAATACAGTCCCAAACACAGTACATTTTTAAATCAACTTGATTTACTGTGTTGTTAAACGTCAAGTGTTTTAAATATTTGCAATAAAAATAAGATACATCAAATTGTTTACCGAGACTACTTCAAGACATGCTGTATTTTGACATAATAATCACCTCGTGTTTAGGGTTCTGTGATGTTGGTAGGATCTGTACAGGAATACTGGTGAATCTCTGGAACACGAGGTCAACCTGTAAGTGAGGAAGGACAACACGTACAGCTATAGACTATAGGTAACACATCCTCCACTAGGTAGGTACCATGGAACTACAGGTAACACATCCTCCACTAGGTAGGTACCATGGAACTACAGGTAACACATCCTCCACTAGGGAGGCACCATGGAACTACAGGTAACACATCCTCCACTAGGGAGGCACCATGGAACTACAGGTAACACATCCTCCACTAGGGAGGCACCATGGAACTACAGGTAACACATCCTCCACTAGGGAGGCACCATGGAACTACAGGTAACACATCCTCCACTAGGGAGGCACCATGGAACTACAGGTAACACATCCTCCACTAGGGAGGCACCATGGAACTACAGGTAACACATCCTCCACTAGGGAGGCACCATGGAACTACAGGTAACACATCCTCCACTAGGGAGGCACCATGGAACTACAGGTAACACATCCTCCACTAGGGAGGCACCATGGAACTACAGGTAACACATCCTCCACTAGGGAGGCACCATGGAACTACAGGTAACACATCCTCCACTAGGGAGGCACCATGGAACTACAGGTAACACATCCTCCACTAGGGAGGCACCATGGAACTACAGGTAACACATCCTCCACTAGGGAGGCACCATGGAACTACAGGTAACACATCCTCCACTAGGGAGGCACCATGGAACTACAGGTAACACATCCTCCACTAGGGAGGCACCATGGAACTACAGGTAACACATCCTCCACTAGGGAGGCACCATGGAACTACAGGTAACACATCCTCCACTAGGGAGGCACCATGGAACTACAGGTAACACATCCTCCACTAGGGAGGCACCATGGAACTACAGGTAACACATCCTCCACTAGGGAGGCAACATGGAACTACAGGTAACACATCTTCCACCAGGGAGGAACCATGGAACTACAGGTAACACATCCTCCACTTGGAAGGCACCATGGAACTACAGGTAACACATCTTCCACCAGGGAGGAACCATGGAACTACAGGTAGCACATCCTCCACTAGGAAGGCACCATGGAAATACATGTAACACATCCTACACTAGGGAGACCCCATAGAACTACAGGTAACACATCCTCCACTAGGAAGGCACCATGGAAATACATGTAACACATCCTACACTAGGGAGACACCATAGAACTACAGGTAACACATCCTCCACTAGGAAGGCACCATGGAACTACAGGTAACACATCCTCCACTAGGAAGGTACCATGGAACTACAGGTAACACATCCTCCACTAGGGAGACACCATGGAACTACAGGTAACACATCCTACACTAGGAAGGTACCATGGCACTACAGGTAACACATCCTCCACTAGGGAGGCACCATGGAAATACAGGTAACACATCCTCTACTAGGTCGTTACCATGGAACTACATGTAACACATCCTACACTAGGGAGGCACCATGGAAATACAGGTAACACATCCTCCACTAGGAAGGCACCTTGGAACTACAGGTAACACATCCTACACTAGGGAGACACCATGGAACTATAGGTAACATATCCTCCACTAGGGAGACACCATGGAACTACAGGTAACACATCCTCCACTAGGGAGACAACATGGAACTACAGGTAACACATCCTCCACTAGGGAGACACCATGGAACTACCGGTAACACATCCTACACTAGGGAGGCACCATGGAACTACAGGTAACACATCCTCCACTAGGTAGGTACCATGGCACTACAGGTAGCACATCCTCCACTAGGAAGGCACCTTGGAACTACAGGTAACACATCCTCCACTAGGGAGACACCATGGAACTACAGGTAACAAATCCTCCACTAGGGAGGTACCATGGCACTACAGGTAGCACATCCTCCACTAGGAAGGCACCATGGAACTACAGGTAACACATCCTACACTAGGGAGACACCATGGAACTACAGGTAACACATCCTCCACTAGGGAGGCACCATGGAACTACAGGTAACACATCCTCCACTAGGGAGGCACCATGGAACTACAGGTAACACATCCTCCACTAGGGAGGCAACATGGAACTACAGGTAGCACATCCTACACTAGGGAGACACCATGGAACTACAGGTAACACATCCTCCACTAGGGAGGCACCATGGAACTACAGGTAACACATCCCCAACTTGGTAGGCACCATGGAACTACAGGTAACAAATCCTCCACTAGGGAGGCACCGTGGAACTACAGGTAACACATCCTCCACTAGGGAGGAACCATGTAACTACAGGTAACACATCCTCCACTAGGGAGGAACCACGGAACTACAGGTAACACATCCTCCACTAGGGAGGCACCATGGAACTACAGGAAACACATCCTCCACTAGGGAGGTACCATGGAACTACAGGTAACACATCCCCAACTTGGTAGGCACCATGGAACTACAGGTAACAAATCCTCCACTAGGGAGGCACCGTGGAACTACAGGTAGTACATCCTCCACTAGGAAGGCACCATGGTAAGACATTTTTTGCACTACGTTCACAATACTGGTAAAACTTTAGTACATTACATCCCATCATGTGTTTGAAATATAAAATAATATAGGTCATTATAGGTACTTTATTCAACAGTAGAATCAGTCAACATAAGTAGTATCAGTCCACAAGAGTATAATCTGTCAACAGAAGTAGTATCTGTCAACAGAAGTAGTATCTGTCAACAGAAGTGGTGTCAGTCAACAGAAGTAGCATCAGTCCACAAGAGTATAATCTGTCAACAGAAGTAGTATCTGTCAACAGAAATAGTATCAGTGAACAGAAGTAGTTTCTGTCAACATAAATAGTATCAGTCCACAAGAGTATCATCTGTCAACAGAAGAAGTATCTGTCAACAGAAGTAGTATCTGTCAACAGAAGTAGTATCTGTCAACAGAAGTGGTGTCAGTCAACAGAAGTAGTATCAGTCAACAGAAGTAGTATCAGTCGACAGAAGTAGTGTCTGTCAACAGAAGTAGTATTAGTCAACAGAAGTAGTGTCTGTCAACAGAAGTAGTATCAGTCAAAAGAAGTAGTATCAGTCAACATAAGTAGTATCAGTCCACAAGAGTATCATCTGTCAACAGAAGTAGTATCTGTCAACAGAAGTAGTATCTGTCAACAGAAGTAGTATCTGTCAACAGAAGTGGTGTCAGTCAACAGAAGTAGTATCAGTCAACAGAAGTAGTATCAGTCAACAGAAGTAGTATCAGTCAACAGAAGTAGTATCTGTCAACATAAGTAGTATCTGTCAACAGAAGTAGTATCAGTCGACAGAAGTAGTATCAGTCAACAGAAGTAGTATCAGTCGACAGAAGTAGTGTCTGTCAACAGAAGTAGTATCAGTCAAAAGAAGTAGTATCTGTCAACAGAAGTAGTATCAGTCAACAGAAGTAGTATCAGTCAACAAAAGTAGTATCTGTCAACAGAAATAGTATCTGTCAACAGAAGTAGTATCAGTAAACAGAAATAGTAACTGTCAACAGAAGTAGTATCTGTCAACAGAAGTAGTATCTGTTAACAGAAGTAGTATCTGTCAACAGAAGTAGTATCAGTCAACAGAAGAAGTATCTGTCAAAAGAAGTAGTGTCAGTCAACAGATGTTGTATCAGTCAACATAAGTAGTATCTGTCAACAGAAGTAGTACCTGTCAACAGAAGTAGTGTCTGTTAACAGAAGTAGTATCTGTTAATAGAAGTAGTATCTGTCAACAGAAGTAGTATCAGTCAACAGAAATAGTATCTGTTAACAGAAGTAGTATTTGTTAATAGAAGTAGTATCTGTCAACAGAAGTAGTATCAGTCAACAGAAATAGTATCTGTTAATATAAGTAGTATCCTTCAACATAAGTAGTATCAGTCAACATAAGTAGTATCTGTCAACAGAAGTAGTATCTGTCAACAGAGTAGTATCTGTCAACAGAAGTAGTATCAGTCAACAGAAGTAGTATCTGTCAACAGAAGTAGTATCAGTCAACATAAGTAGTATCTGTCAACAGAAGTAGTATCAGTCAACAGAAGTAGTATCTGTCAACAAAAGTAGTATCAGACAACAGAAGTAGTATCTGTCAACAAAGGTAGTATCTGTCAATTGAAGTAGTAGCAGTCAACAGAAGTTGTAGCAGTCAACATAAGTAGTATCTGTCAATTGAAGTAGTAGCAGTCAACATAAGTAGTATCTGTCAATTGAAGTAGTAGCAGTCATTATAAGTAGTATCTTTCAATTGAAGTAGTAGCAGTCAACATAAGTTGTATCTGTCAACAGAATATGAGGTATCGATATACTCACATGTTCACAGGTATTGTATCTGTAAATGTTACAAAAAACACCTCCATACAGACGGGATATCGGTGACGTCTTCATTAATTTCTCCGTGTCTAGAAATATATGTAGTTGTTCATTTCAAAGTTTTCAATACTGAATAAAACTTACACATGCTGTATACATTACTATTACAGTATTTATTCAAGCGTACATACATTTTAGTGTATTATCGATTTTTATCAGATTATGAATATAGCAAATTCAGTTCGGCGTTTAATGCGCGAAAAGCACTTAAATTTGAATACTGCTTATGTATGTAAGTCTTTTATATTTACGATGACCACTACCGCACCCCTAAATGATGATCAATGCTGCACCCATTATTGATGACCAATGCCGCATCCCTACATGATAACTATTGCCCCGCCCTTTAATGATGACCACTGCCACACCCCTTATTGATGACCACTGCCACACCCTTTAATGATAACAATTGCCACACCCCTTAATGATGACCACTGCCACACCCCTAAATGATGACCACTGCCTCACCCCAAAATGATGACCATTTTTCTGCCCCTAAATGATGACCATTGCCACACTCCTTAATAATGACAACTGCCACACCCCTTATTGATGACCACTGCAACACCCTTTAATGATAACAATTGCCACACCCCTTAATAATGACAACTGCCACACCCCTTATTCATGACCACTGCCACACCCTTTAATGATAACAATTGCCACACCCCTTAATAATGACTACTGCCAAACCACTAAATGATAACCACTGCCACACCCTTTAATGATGACCACTGCCACACCCTTTAATGATGACCACTGACATACCCTTTAATGATAACCAGTGCCACACCATTTAATGATAACCAGTGCCACACCCTTTAATGATGACCACTGCCACACCCCTTAATAATGACAATTGACACCCCTCTAAATAATGACCACTGCCATACCCTTTAATGATAACCAATGCCAAACCCCTAAATGATGACCAATGCCGAACCCTTAAATGATGACCAATGCCACACCTCTTAATGATGACCACTGCCAAACCCCTAAATGATGACCACTGCCTTGCCTCTTGCTGTTGCTAGGTACTTTAGAATCAATTGTGGAACTTCTTTCTGTGTGGTCATCTTAAGTGTATGTTTTATTCTGTTGTTTAATTTAAACCGACAAACCAATATGTCAGACTAAACAAGCAAGTCAATATATATATATACCTCAAACAAAATCAACCAATTAGATACAATAAAACCCTTACCTCAGACGTAACTCACCACTACGTCCGTCAAATATAGCCAAATAAGTTAATCCATGAAACGTTAACGGACCGGCATTAGCATGGGCTACAGATTTATTTTCACAAACAATATTGGAAAGTCTACATACGTATATATGTATATGTTACATACCTGTTCCCGTGGCATGAACCCTGGATTTCTCCTGATAGTAAAAAAAGAGAGGTAAAACAGAGATATGTTTATGATCAGGCCATAGTTTAGTTCAATAACATCACAAAAAATCAATCTGTGTAACGGGTGTTATAATACTTACTGTGACCTCACATGTCACAGGTAACAGTGTTCTGACATCATAATTGTTGTTATGGTCCTATAACACACATTGCTATTGATGACAAACGTAATAAAGCCCGGCAGGGCTTTATGTAAGTTTGTCTTCAATAGAAATGTGTGTTATAGGACCATAACAATATTTGCTAAATAATCATTATTTATATTTACATTTTGATAGAGTAGTTACGCTTTATTTAGTTGTTTTGAACAGCAAATTAAGTCTTGAAAACAATGAAATTGATGACGTCACAATAGAGATTGATGATGGTACACTAGCAAATGTTGTTTTCCGTCTTTGCGTATTGCAGATTTATCTTCTCTTGGGAGCAGGGATTGATTGTTACTTCATTGGTTTGTGTGACAAAATTACGTCGTTTTCTCAAAAATTGACGACGTTACTCTCACAAACCAATGACGTAACAATCAATACCTGCTCACAAGATAAGATAACTCTGCAATACGCAAAGACGGAATAGTCTCGCAACAAAATTCGCCTTCTCAATGCATAACAATGGAAGGATGCAGAGTAAATGTAAACATTTGAAGTTTTAGACAACAGGGCAGTTATCTTTGCTTCCATGCTTAACTTTGTCACTATACCAAACCTAAATAATCGACATGTACTTGGCTAATGCACAGCAATATGAGTCCTTTAACGAAAATCAATGAACTTATAAAATCAGTAGCACAATGTCGTCTTGTTGTATATATATGTGTGTGTTTACATTAACTACTAGGGGATTTTCCCCACTACATACGTACAGATTGTAAGTATAAATTCACCTGACCCCGGGTATTCAAGATGAATTATTTACTATAATTAGCCTTCCGTTACATGCTTACCGAGGGGGTATGCAATTACATCAGCCTACTTTATATATATTAGGAACTTCTGTATGTTGATGTATTCTGTATTGTATTATTGTTTCATGGTGACTGTTTTTCTCTTTTTTATGTTATGATATGTAAATGTTCATGTTCCTGTCTTGATAAAGGGGCAGATCACCCTGAACATTTGACACATTCCTTTGTCTGTACTGTCGTTATTACGTCTTTGCCCACATATACCTTAAATATATATGCATATATGATAAAGATACTTCGAAGCAAATGAACAGAAAATTACAGACAACATTCGAAACAAAACTACAATCAACATCACAAATCTTTATAGACATTTGGAGACAAAAATAATCAAATCAAGCATTAATCATATTTTACACAACTACATGAAATGCATGACAAAACGGTAGATACTTCCAAAGCATGGCATGCATTCAGCTCCTATGTTACACAATCTCCCTACCACCCCAGGTATTAAACACCAATACATTATAGCGAATCAATTTTAAAATGTTCATTTAACGACAAAACGATAAATTTGAAAGAATTAGAACTTAGGATAAAAACAATATCACGATGTTCCTTTTCTAGATATTTCTGGATAAATATCCGTGATACTTTCAAATTCGTGATGGTGTCTTCTCGCGAATTAACGTGGGAAAAATCGAAATTACGATATACCGTAATGGTAGGTTATATACAATCACCCATGTCAGTATACTTACCTCACTTAAATCCTCCAGTTCCCCAAGAACCTTGTTGTAAAATTCGTAGCTATCCTGTTGCTTGTTGCCCTCGAACTTCTCATCGCTAGACAGCAGAAACGTGTGTATCAGAACCAATGTTAGAACTTTTATTCAGAAGACACAAAGTTAAGTACATGTACGTGTACAGGTGTATAACATGTAGTTCAACGACATTCATTTCAAAATATCCCATTGTAGACACACTATTCAATCCTATTATTTGCCTCAATAAATCAAAGAATTTTCGATCATATGATCTACAGGTTTCTGAATATACCCAAAGAGAAAAAAATACTTCTTGACAAGTTCACAGTTGTTCAGGATAACATACATTTGAGTAAGCGAGTCAATGACGGCCTGGGGTAGTGTTGTTGGCACTTGTGACTCAAATTGTACGGCATACACCAGAGCCAGCAGCGACTGGTCCAGCTGTGTCGGTGGTACCTTGAACAAAAGCCGGTACATCTTTGATGGCACTCTCCTCAGCTGACCTACAGGCCATTTTATCAGTGTTGGTGGTACCGGTAGCCATGACTGGATTGTCTTTGACAGTGGACTGATTAAAGACTGTTCAACAACACAAAGAAAGTCAATAGACCTGAGTTGTATCCGCTACAAAACATTCTAGATTGTAACAAGCCAATATTAGACAATAGAACGTTCCCATATAGGGTAATGACATCACTGACGTGTATACGTTACACTGAAATTGGAAATCTTTGAAATACCATTTGCTAATCAAACAAGAGGTCCAGAGGGCCTTATCGCTCACATGCATACCTAAGCAATCATGGCAAAATATTCTCCAAATGAGATCCAAGGGAATATGCAAGACTCTTAGGCCAATCCTTGAAGCATAAACTGTATACGATTTTTCATGCCCGGCAATTGTATGTATGGTTATGGGATGGGGATCTCAACTTTTTCCAAGCTGTGACTCAGAAACTAGGTCCCTACGGTTGTGGCCAGACCCCAGGATCAAATATAATATCATGACTGCATTTGTCTCTTTTTGCCCAGCATTTGTATATATAGTTTTGGGGTGGGGATCTCAACCGTTTCAAAGTTAGGACCCAGGGGTTAAGTCTGCAAGGGTGGGGCAGACCCTGGGGTCAATTCTAATATCATGTCTGCATTCGTCTCTTTATGCCCAACAATTGTATGCATAGTTTTGGGGTTGGGATCTTAACCATTTCGAAGTTATGACCCAGGGATTAAGTTTCAATGGGTAGGGCAGTCCCAAATGCCATCCTGGAAGCATATGTGCTTTCATCTCTTTATACTCAGCAATTGCATATATGGTTATAGGGTGGGGATCTCAACTGTTTCTAATCTGTGAGTAAGAAACTAGGTCCCTAGGGGTTTGGTCAGACCCCAGGGTCTATCCTGATATTATGACTGCATTCGTCTCTTTATGCCCAGCATTTGTATTTATAGTTTTGGGGTGGGGATCTCATCCGTTTTAAAGTTATGGCCCAGGGACTATGTCTCCAAGGGTGGGGCCAGACCCCAGGGCCATCCTGGAAGCAAATGTATATTCTTCTCTTTATACTCAGCAATTGTATATATAAGGTGGGGATCTCAACCATTTCCAAGTAATACACTTTTTTTGGCCCCACCCCTTAGCCCGGGGGGTCAGCCCCAGCATTTGTACAATTTTGAATCCCTGCCACCCATGAATGCTTCCGACTTAATATGATCAATATCCATGGCATAGTTCTACAGAAGAAGTCGTTTATAGCAATATAGCCAAATTGCCCACTTTTGGCCCCGCCTTCAGTCCTCGGGGGGTTAGCCCCACAAATTGTACAATTTTGAATTCCCACCACCTAGGGATGCTTCCAGTCAAATATGGCTGATATCCATCTCTTAGTTCCAAAGAAGAAGTCGCTTAAAGCAATATAGCTAAATAACCCTTTTTGGCCTCGCCCCTCAGCCCCTTGGGGGTCAGCCCCACCATTTGTACAATTTTGAATACCCACCACCTAGGGATGCTTCCAGTCAAATTTAGTTAAATTCCAATCAGTGGTTAAGAAGAAGAAGTCGTTTAAAGAAATTGTTGACGGACGGACGACGGACGCCACAGTATGGCATAAGCTCACCTTGGTCCTTCGGACCCGGTGAGCTGAAAAAACATATGATGTCCATATTATGTATGAATTTCCTACTGCAAAACAAGCCGGGCAAATGCACTAAACATAGTCCTCTACAAGGTGTTCTACAAATTAAGCGTTTTAAAATCTGAATATCCCAAACACTTCTACTTACTGCAATAAGTGGTACTGTAAGACATACAAGTAAGAATCGATGACGTACGGAATACAGGTAAGGATCGATGACGTACGGTATACAGGTAAGGATTTATTACGTACGGAAAACAGGTAAGGATCGATGACGTACGGAATACAGGTAAGGATAGATGACGTACGGAATACAGGTAAGGATCGATGACGTACGGGATACAGGTAAGGATTTATTACGTACGGAAAACAGGTAAGGAGTGATGACGTACGGTATACATGTAAGGATTGATGACGTACAGAATACAGGTATGGATCGATGACGTACGGAATACAGGTAAGGATTTATTACTTACGGAAAACAGGTAAGGATTGATGACGTACGGTATACAGGTAAGGATTAATGACGTACGGTATACAGGTAAGGATTGATGACGTACAGAATACAGGAAAGGATAGATGACGTACGGAATACAGGTAAGGATTTATTACGTACGGAAAACAGGTAAGGAGTGATGACGTACGGTATACATGTAAGGATTGATGACGTACAGAATACAGGTAAGGATCGATTACGTACGGAATACAGGTAAGGATAGATGACGTACGGAATACAGGGAAGGATCGATGACGTACGGAATACAGGTAAGGATGGATGACGTACAGAATACAGGGAAGGATAGATGACGTACGGAATACAGGTAAGGATTTATTACTTACGGAAAACAGGTAAGGATTGATGACGTACGGTATTCAGGTAAGGATTGATGACGTACAGAATACAGGTATGGATCGATGACGTACGGAATACAGGTAAGGATTTATTACTTACGGAAAACAGGTAAGGATTGATGACGTACGGTATTCAGGTAAGGATTGATGACGTACAGAATACAGGTATGGATCGATGACGTACGGAATACAGGTAAGGATCGATGAGGTACAGAATACAGGTAAGATGACGTACAGAATACAGGTAAGGATCGATTACGTACGGAATACAGGTAAGGATAGATGACGTACGGAATACAGGTAAGGATCGATGACGTACGGAATACAGGTAAGGATTTATTACTTACGGAAAACAGGTAAGGATTGATGACGTACGGTATACAGGTAAGGATTGATGACGTACAGAATACAGGTAAGGATCGATGACGTACGGAATACAGGTAAGGATAGATGACGTACGGTATACAGGTAAGGATTGAGTACGTACGGTATACAGGTAAGGATTGATGACGTACAGAATACAGGTAAGGATAGATGACGTACGGTATACAGGTAAGGATTGATGACGTACAGAATACAGGAAAGGATAGATGACGTACGGAATACAGGTAAGGATTGATGACGTACAGAATACAGGAAAGGATAGATGACGTACGGAATACAGGTAAGGATTGATGACGTACGGTATACAGGTAAGGATTAATGACGTAGGGTATACAGGTAAGGATTGATGACGTACAGAATACAGGTAAGGATCGATTACGTACGGAATACAGGGAAGGATAGATGACGTACGGAATACAGGTAAGGATAGATGACGTACGGTATACCGGTAACGATTGATGACGTACGGAATACAGGTAAAACCGATTCCGTATGGATTATGGGTAAGGATTAATGACGTATGGAATACAGGTAAAACCGATTCCGTACGGATTATGGGTAAGGATTAATGACGTATGGAATACAGGTAAGAATATATGACGTATGGAATACAGGTAAGAATATATGACGTATGGAATACAGGTAAGGATAGATGACGTACGGAATACAGGTAAGGATATATGACGTATGGAATACAGGTAAGGATAGATGACGTACGGAATACAGGTAAGGATAGATGACGTACAGAATACAGGTAAGGATAGATGACGTACGGAATACAGGTAAGGATAGAAGACGTACGGAATACAGGTAAGGATATATGACATGCGGAATACAGGTAAGGATAGATGACGTACGGAATACAGGTAAGGATTGATGAGGTATTGATTATAGGTACGAATCAATGGTTCACGGAGTACAAGTAAGGACTAACGAGGTACTTCTCCGGGGGGTAATCAGTGTAAATCACCTTAATTAGAAACACCACCATACCAATCAGATGCATTGTTTAACTTACACAATCTTTTGTCTGTTCCGTGGCTCTCTGTAGTTGTTTTCTAAAGTTTGGTGTCACACAGAGCACCTGACGAAATAAAAAGCAGCTTAAAGAATCATGAAATGTGAAATACACACAAACAATATTTGTTCAAAGAATTTTATAGATTTATTTTTCCTTTCCGCTGTATTCTACATATGACACTTCAGACATGGAAGTTCTTGGTTTTTTACTTAAAGTATCACATTGTCCTACACTTGGCGCAGTAACCTACTTTTTTGTTTTTTACTTAAAGTATCACATTGTCCTACACTTGGCACAGTAACCTACTTTCTTTGTTTTGACTTAAAGTATCACATTGTCCTACACTTGGCGCAGTAACCTACTTTCTTTGTTTTTTATTTAACTTTAATTAAGTATCACATTGTTCTACACTTGGCGCAGTAACATATATTTTTTTTATTTTTTTTTAACTTTAATTAAGTATCAAATTGTCCTACACTTGGCGCAGTAACCTACTTTCTTTTTTTTGACTTTAAGTATCACATTGTCCTACACTTGGCACAGTAACATATTTTTAAAAAAAAGATTTTTTAACTTTAATTAAGTATCAAATTGTCCTACACTTGGCACAGCAACATAATTTCTTTGTTTTGACTTTAAGTATCACATTGTCCTACACATAGCGCAGTAACATATTTTCTTTATGCCAAAAAGGTGCTTCCTTTCTTCAGTTTTCTATTAACTATTATACATGTATATCACAAATATTTCAGACCGTTTGTTTAATTCAAAAGTTTTACATTGGCAGTTCGTAGATGTGGCGACAGAAATACAATAACATACTATGAAAACGCCATAACATGTTTTGCCCAGTTCAGTGAATACGAAACTAGATGACACTTGGGAAAGACATAGTTACGTTTAACTTTAAGCAATGGGAGAGCGGTTATCTCATCCAATGTGTCAAACCATTTCGGGCCTAAAATCATGGCAGATTGGTAATAATCTACATAATGCATATTTACCTGAATAACTGCATTCATGAAGCAGGTGTTACCGATATTGGGTATCCCCTACAAACATAGTAGGTTACAACTTGTAGTAGATGCTACCCCTACAAACATAGTATGTTACAACTTGTAGTAGATGTTACCCTACAACCATAGTAGGTTACAACTTGTAGTAGATGTTACCCCTACAAATATAGTATGTTACAACGTGTAGTAGATGTTAACCTACAGCCATAGTAGGTTACAACTTGTAGTAGATGTTACCCCTACAAACATAGTAGGTTACAACTTGTAGTAGATGTTACCCCTACAAACATAGTATGTTACAACTTGTAGTAGATGTTACCCCTACAAACATAGTAGGTTACAACTTGTAGTAGATGTTACCCCTACAAACATAGTATGTTACAACGTGTAGTAGTTGTTACCCCTACAACCATAGTAGGTTACAACTTGTAGTAGATGTTACCCCTACAACCATAGAAGGTTACAACTTGTAGTAGATGTTACCCCTACAACCATAGTAGGTTACAACTTGTAGTAGATGTAACCCCTACAACCATAGTATGTTACAACTTGTAGTAGATGTTACCCCTACAAACATAGTATGTTACAACTTGTAGTAGATGTTACCCCTACAAACATAGTAGGTTACAACTTGTAGTAGATGTTACCCCTACAAACATAGTAGGTTACAACTTGTAGTAGATGTTACCCCTACAAACATAGTAGGTTACAACTTGTAGTAGATGTTACCCCTACAAACATAGTAGGTTACAACTTGTAGTAGATGTTACCCCTACAAACATAGTATGTTACAACGTGTAGTAGTTGTTACCCCTACAACCATAGTAGGTTACAACTTGTAGTAGATGTTACCCCTACAACCATAGAAGGTTACAACTTGTAGTAGATGTTACCCCTACAACCATAGTATGTTACAACTTGTAGTAGATGTTACCCCTACAAACATAGTAGGTTACAACTTGTAGTAGATGTTACCCCTACAAACATAGTAGGTTACAACTTGTAGTAGATGTTACCCCTACAAACATAGTATGTTACAACGTGTAGTAGATGTTACCCCTACAACCATAGTAGGTTACAACTTGTAGTAGATGTTACCCCTACAACCATAGAAGGTTACAACTTGTAGTAGATGTTACCCCTACAACCATAGTATGTTACAACTTGTAGTAGATGTTACCCCTACAAACATAGTAGGTTACAACTTGTAGTAGATGTTACCCCTACAAACATAGTAGGTTACAACTTGTAGTAGATGTTACCCCTACAAACATAGTATGTTACAACGTGTAGTAGATGTTACCCCTACAACCATAGTAGGTTACAACTTGTAGTAGATGTTACCCCTACAACCATAGTAGGTTACAACTTGTAGTAGATGTTACCCCTACAACCATAGTAGGTTACAACTTGTAGTAGATGTTACCCCTACAACCATAGTAGGTTACAACTTGTAGTAGATGTTACCCCTACAACCATAGTAGGTTACAACTTGTAGTAGATGTTACCCCTACAACCATAGTAGGTTACAACTTGTAGTAGATGTTACCCCTACAACCATAGTAGGTTACAACTTGTAGTAGATGTTACCCCTACAACCATAGTAGGTTACAACTTGTAGTAGATGTTACCCCTACAACCATAGTAGGTTACAACTTGTAGTAGATGTTACCCCTACAACCATAGTAGGTTACAACTTGTAGTAGATGTTACCCCTACAACCATAGTAGGTTACAACTTGTAGTAGATGTTACCCCTACAACCATAGTAGGTTACAACTTGTAGTAGATGTTACCCCTACAACCATAGTAGGTTACAACTTGTAGTAGATGTTACCCCTACAACCATAGTAGGTTACAACTTGTAGTAGATGTTACCCCTACAACCATAGTAGGTTACAACTTGTAGTAGATGTTACCCCTACAACCATAGTAGGTTACAACTTGTAGTAGATGTTACCCCTACAACCATAGTAGGTTACAACTTGTAGTAGATGTTACCCCTACAACCATAGTAGGTTACAACTTGTAGTAGATGTTACCCCTACAACCATAGTAGGTTACAACTTGTAGTAGATGTTACCCCTACAACCATAGTAGGTTACAACTTGTAGTAGATGTTACCCCTACAACCATAGTAGGTTACAACTTGTAGTAGATGTTACCCCTACAACCATAGTAGGTTACAACTTGTAGTAGATGTTACCCCTACAACCATAGTAGGTTACAACTTGTAGTAGATGTTACCCCTACAACCATAGTAGGTTACAACTTGTAGTAGATGTTACCCCTACAACCATAGTAGGTTACAACTTGTAGTAGATGTTACCCCTACAACCATAGTAGGTTACAACTTGTAGTAGATGTTACCCCTACAACCATAGTAGGTTACAACTTGTAGTAGATGTTACCCCTACAACCATAGTAGGTTACAACTTGTAGTAGATGTTACCCCTACAACCATAGTAGGTTACAACTTGTAGTAGATGTTACCCCTACAACCATAGTAGGTTACAACTTGTAGTAGATGTTACCCCTACAACCATAGTAGGTTACAACTTGTAGTAGATGTTACCCCTACAACCATAGTAGGTTACAACTTGTAGTAGATGTTACCCCTACAACCATAGTAGGTTACAACTTGTAGTAGATGTTACCCCTACAACCATAGTAGGTTACAACTTGTAGTAGATGTTACCCCTACAACCATAGTAGGTTACAACTTGTAGTAGATGTTACCCCTACAACCATAGTAGGTTACAACTTGTAGTAGATGTTACCCCTACAACCATAGTAGGTTACAACTTGTAGTAGATGTTACCCCTACAACCATAGTAGGTTACAACTTGTAGTAGATGTTACCCCTACAACCATAGTAGGTTACAACTTGTAGTAGATGTTACCCCTACAACCATAGTAGGTTACAACTTGTAGTAGATGTTACCCCTACAACCATAGTAGGTTACAACTTGTAGTAGATGTTACCCCTACAACCATAGTAGGTTACAACTTGTAGTAGATGTTACCCCTACAACCATAGTAGGTTACAACTTGTAGTAGATGTTACCCCTACAACCATAGTAGGTTACAACTTGTAGTAGATGTTACCCCTACAACCATAGTAGGTTACAACTTGTAGTAGATGTTACCCCTACAACCATAGTAGGTTACAACTTGTAGTAGATGTTACCCCTACAACCATAGAAGGTTACAACTTGTAGTAGATGTAACCCCTACAACCATAGTATGTTACAACTTGTAGTAGATGTTACCCCTACAAACATAGTAGGTTACAACTTGTAGTAGATGTTACCCTTACAAACATAGTATGTTACAACGTGTAGTAGTTGTTACCCCTACAAACATAGTAGGTTACAACTTATAGTAGATGTTACCCCCGACAACCATAGAAGGTTACAACTTGTAGTAGATGTTACCCCTACAACCATAGAAGGTTACAACTTGTAGTAGATGTAACCCCTACAACCATAGTATGTTACAACTTGTAGTAGATGTTACCCCTACAAA